CCCGTCAGCGCCTGGTTCGTCATCAACCATGTGAGCGGCTGATGGTCTGTCACTAGCACGAATAATCTCTCCTGGAGGTACACTCTGAAATGACTTATCGCCCGCTGCTAGTCCCTCCCCTTCGTAGGAACTATAGTTGGCTTCGGTCTGGTTGCAGCTCCTGCTGGCGAAGGCTACCACCATCTCTTGCCCCTCTCTTTCTTGACATAGGATGGCTCCCATCCCCGAGCTGCTCCAGTCGGTGTAGAGCACGAATAGGTCCTCCTTGCTGGGCAGGCTTAACACCGTAGCTGTCTTCACCGCTTTCAGTAGTGCATCCATTGCCCCCTGCTCTACCACTCCCCATTGCCATGCCTGCTCTTCTCTTAGCAGCCTGTTGAGCACGTCTGCGGTGCGGCTGAAGTTGGGCATGGATTTATGGTAGTAGTTCAGAAATCCGAGCACTGCCCTGAGTGTGCTCCTATCCTTGGGGGGGGACGCTCTGTCCAGCACCTCCACCTTTGCCTGCTGGATCCCCATCTTCCCTCCCCGCACCTCGAAGCCCAGGTACTTAACCGAGCTGCCTCCAGAGCTGCATTTCTTGGGGTGGCAGGTTAGCCCAGCCTTGCTGATCGCTTCCAGCGTGTCCTTCACATCTTTCACGTGCTGCTGGTCACTAGCACTGAAAACCACCACATCGTCTATATAGCAGGCGGCTGCCGGCACGTCTCTCAGCGTTGAGTCCATGACTCTTTGAAACAGTGCTGCTGCGTTCTTCATGCTGAATGGCATGAACTTCCACTCGTACAATCCGTCTGGCCCATGGAATGCGGTCTTCTTGCAATCCTCTGGGTTGATGGGATTTGGTCGAATCCTTGTCTGAGGTCGAGGGTGGTAAACACGGTGGCGCCTTGTAGCTTGTCGAATATTTCTTCCGCGGATTGCATAGGGTACCTATCCGCCATGGTGACCTTGTTCAAACCCCAGTAATCTCCGCACATCCTCCTGGCAGATACCTCTCCAGTCTGGTCCTTTCTAGTTGCCACCACCGTCGCCGCTGCGTAATCACTCTCGGATCTTTGGATCACCTCCAGCAACTCAGCACATTTCTCTAGGCGGATGTCAAGGTCTCTTGGGCTCATTCTCCTCTTCCTCTGGTATATCGGCACTTCGCTCGAGAGCTTGATTTGCATCTGACGCGTGTTACATTTTCCCAGCTCTAGCAGAGAGTAGGCGAAGGTCCCTCTGTGCTGCCTCAGCACTGCTTGTAGCTCCCTTGCCGCCGCTGCCCCCCTTCCCATCGCCTATCGGCCAGTCCTCCTCCTCGGTTCTTTCCTTATGCTTTACTTCCTTCCGCGCCTCCTCCCTTCCTTCCTCATTCGCTTCCTCAGTGTCTGTAGCTGCTTCTCTGTAGGTCAGCGCCATACATGCCCAGCCTTCTCGTATCCGTTCCAGCTGGCGCCTTCTCATCCGAACTTCCTCCTCTTCCTGGTATATCTCTCCTATCCCAATAGCGCGCTCTATGTCCTTACGCTTTAGGTGCATGCGTATGGTTTCGATCAGCCAGCACATCACATTCAGGCCCATGGCCCTGCCCATTGCTGCCCTCTGCTGCTTCTCCGTCACCTGCGGATGTGCAGTCGCTCCCCACATGTGGCCCATCGCCAACTCTCTCTCTTCTGCCGTTGGCTCCTCCCACTTCTTGCTCCTCACATCGTATACCATCCCCGGTCCTGGCTGATCTCCCTCCATCACGAACCCTCGCGCCCCCACGGACGAGACCAGTGTCGGCAAGGCTTGCCTTGGCCTTCCTGGCGTGTTGCACTGATACTGCGACGGGCGGTCTGGGCAAGTCACTGGTGCTGCCAGGCGTCCTGGTCCCAGTATGCCACTCACTAACCTTGGGTCCGGCCTCTGCATCTGAGCCAAGGAGTGCCTCAAGCAAGTGTCTGAAACCCCGTTCTGCCAGTACCTCCTGGGGCAATGTGATGTGGATCCCAGTTGGGCTGCGTCTGCTGCAACTCCCCTGCCTACCGTCTCCTCTATCTCCGCAAACGCTCTCTTGACTGGTTCTCGGCGATCTTCTGCTAAGTCTACATTTTCCAGGATGTAGAGTACTTCCCCTTGCTTCTTCTACAGCATCTCTAGGACCCTCTTTAGGTCCCTGAATGATGCTCCCCTGGTATCCTCCATGCTCAGCCCCTCTCCCGCTCTAGAGTATCCTTGGCATTCCCATCCTGCGACCACTAGGTCTACTTGCCCCCACTTCTCCAGCTGCTCCTCGGTGATGTCTCTCACATCGTCAACAGTGGCGTCGTCCTCTACGGGTATCGCGGTGCTGAGTAGCAGTTGCGGGTATTCCTCTAGCAGTTTCAATGCATGGTTCGGGCCATTCTTCTTACTGTTGGATCCTTCTGAACGTGTATCCACTTTCGCACCCACCCCGCTTTGGGTGCCGCTACCAGGCCCGTGCCGATGCCCCCATACAGCTCCACTATGCACAGCGAGCTCTCCATAGCCCACACCCTCGTGATTCGCTCCCGTAGTGTGGGTGGGTCCTCCCCCTTCCTTCTCCTCTCCGTCCTGCGTTCATACTCTGCCGCATACTGCTCCCAGGACCAGTCGTCCAACTCCCCCGTCATGTCTGTCGTCTCTGCCCGGTAGGCCTCCCTTGGCTCCTGTCTGATGAATTTCACAGGCAGCGTGCCGACTGAGCTTTCGGGGTCCCAATACTGCACTTGGTAAAGGACCTTCTCCTACCACGTGCAAATGGTGGCTCCCACTCGGTACAGCAGGTCCATGCCGACTAGGACGTCGTAGTCTTCTGACTGGGACACCCCACAGACGACTCTGATGCAGCACTCCTTCTCCGTCCCTGGGCGCAGGACTATCTCTATAGGCCTCTGCGTCCTCATCATCCACTTCGGCTCCCCCCCCTCCGCGGCCATGAGTAATATGCCTCTCTCTATCAGTCTACCCGGTAACTCCAACTTCAGCTGCTTCGCCAAGCCCTTCCCTATGAGCACGTGGTGCGCTCCAGTGTCAGTTATGGCTTGCCCCACTGGTAGCCCGCCCACCGTCATGCTGCCCTTTTCCGCTATTAGCACCGAGGCTTGGCATACCAACCTCTCATTAGGATGCCTCCTCATCTCTGTGTGTATCTGTCCTTCCCTCTGGCTGTTCCTTTGTGCCCTAGTGCTCTCTGCTTCCGCTTCCTGCGGCTGGTTTGCCCTGGGCCTCAGGTTCAGATCATCCCGCTCCCTGGGGAACGCCATGCATGAGTAGTCCTTTAGGTACGCATCTTCTCCCTCCTCGGCTCCCTCAATCTCCTCATAGGCCAGTATAGCTCGCCCCCTCTGGTCCGGCTTCGGGGTCTTCTCCAGTTTCAGCTGCAGCTTCTTGATCTCGGCTTGTATCTCCTCTCGGCTGCTTGCTTCCTCGGGTCTCCTCCTGCCGTAGCATTCCTCCCTCTTACGCCCCCGCCTTCCGCAGTTGTCGCACGTCAGCGCCTTGGGTCCATCTCGTTCCCAGCAGTACCTCACCGTTTCCAGCTGCATTGAATAGTTCTTGAGCGTAGGTCCTATTCCCGGGGTTCCGGTAAAGCGTTCTGCCACTTCCAATTTCTGCTGAGTTGGGACGATCCATCTGCGTTCTCGAAGCGCGCCCGTCGTTTGCATTTCCTCTGGCTGCGCTGTCAGCCTTGTCGCCACCATCTCGCGTCTGGTGGGTGCCAGCAGCTCTCTTCATGCGTTCCGGTGCAGCCATAGTTCCTCTTCCCGCTGTCCTGTCTCCTCCATTCTTGGCGATACTTCCGCGTTCTGCCTCTCCCACCGTGCTCGGGTTTCCTGCGCCCATCGCAGCTCGTGCGGTGTCTCTCCAGGATCTGAGGCCGCGTGCCTTGCGCCCTCCGTCAATCGTTCTGCTTCGCGAGCTCGCTGCTGGGGCGTTCGATACGCTCCCACCTCAGGCGGGGTTTGCCGCACGTTCTCCTCTCGCTGCACTTTCGTCGTTGTCACGCTCGCTTGCGCTCTCCAGCTTGGAGCGGCTTGGATATCTTCTCGCCAACATCTGTGTCGAGATCTCAAGCGATACCTATCGTTCATTTCTATTCACGATTGCTTGCTCGTTTGTTGAAAGTTCCTAGATGAGGTGCTCCTACTAGCTGCTCTAGGGAGTTGAATCTCGGCTGGCTCTCCAGCTCAGCTGATTACACTCGTGGCTTGCGGGGTTGGCATCACTGGTTGCTTAGCACTAGAAGTTCGCTAGGCTCAAATTGTGCTTAGTTGTGAAAACAAATGAGCAAGCAAACTGTTCCTTCCCCGCCCCTGGGCTAAGTATCCGTGCTGGTTACCGTTGCTAACAATGGTGGTTTCGTTATCCCCACCTTTCGGCTCTTCCCGCTCGATTAGTCTGGTTTCCCGCTATCCTCCCTACAGCCTAACCCCCTATTACGTACTTGTCATGCACTTATATTGTCTCATGCTATACTGCAATTTAAAGCATGGCAATGTTGGAAACGAAGACTCCTTTAGTAGCTGAGACCAGTGTATGCCATTGTGAAAATTTTGATAGTGCTTGCGCCATTGAGAACGTCCTTGCTGAGACTTCCTCGGGAACACCAGGTGAACAATTCCTTGAACCATCGATGCTTATCGTCTTGAGGGAGATGGGATGGATGTTCTCTGTTTGAACAATGATAAGATTTCCACTGATACCCTGCGTGAAAACGAAACCGATGGTTATACTTTTAGCGGGAATGTCAAAGCCCAGGTGCGACATTGAGGCTGTCCAGGCTCGCGACGGAATCCATGGCGGTTCCCAGGCGGAGAGCTCGGAATTCATTCACCCCATGCCACGGTGGCATGAGCCTCTTCCGCGATCCACGCTACCAATCAGCAAATTCCATATCGGACTCCTCCTTACACCATAGGACTCGGCTCGGCATATACTGTATCTCCCACTCTCGGTGTGTGAGTTCTATGCCGTACTGTGTGAGTTCTAGGCTCGACTCGGCTTCAAATATGAAGCGAGAAGCTCAATCCACACAGCCGTACACTCCCCGTCGTTTCAACGCACAGCACAGCGCCGCTGTGCGAAACCCCGACGACCGTGCTCGGTCTCCTTTGACCGCACCGCAGTTCAGCGACAGGAACATTCGTCTATCTCCTTCGCTGAATCGCTTTATCTCAGCGGGAGCTTGAGATATGGCGCACAGACGTCACGGCTGCAGGGTTTCGCCCACAACCTCGTGTTTCCTACTCCTATTGATGGCATTCTCAACGGTTTTGTGTAACCGTTCTGCATCCGCGACTTCTCTTCCCGAGTCGCTCTCCTCCTACTCCAATGTAGCGTTGCTGGATCCGCGCTACGAGCTTTACTGGACCGTCTGTGATGCTTGCACCCATCTGCACCGATCTTTACTCATCTGCACCGTTCTGCACCAATCTGCACCCATCTATGCGCCCATAGGTGGTGGACATTCCTCTCAAGGGCAAGACTCATGCGGTTGAGTGGGGTGCCATTCGCAACTCCACCGACATCTCAGCCGTCCATCATGCCGCCATCTACGGCTGCAAACCGTAAGCGATACATATCCTCCCCCCCCCCCCCCCCCCCCCCCTCCCCCTCCCCCCCCTCCCCCCTTTATTTCCCCTTTGGGCAAATAGCACGCCCGCCCGCCGTTCGCCAGTCCGTCGCCCACCTCCTTTTACGGCCAGCATGACCCTTCTGTGAACTCCAGAATGAGACTTCTCTCTCCGTTCTCTCTCCCTCCGCCTCCCCCCTGACAGCGAGGAGTACGGCAATCTCACGGGTGTGGGGGGCGAGTTTGACTGCCTGCACCAGGCCGACAATCCATGCCCCACCACTGTCGCCGTGTGGGCTGTGGGCGGCAGACCCTTCACCTTCCCGCCCAATGTCGGCTACCCCATCGGCCCGGGCTACTTCACCAAGTTCATACTGCAGGTAGGTGGATGCAGTGCGGTGCGGTTCGATTTAGCGCGGTGGAGAACTCACTACATTTCTGGAGCGTTCCTTCCCCCACCGTTTCTAGCGCTAACCCGTCCAAGCCCCCTTTTCGAGGCTCCTTACAAGTCGTCCGACCATGTCTAGTACCAAATTCTTCCCAGCCTCCTCCTCTTACTCCCGTGCCCCAGGCACAAATGCCTTGTGCTGGGCTTCTCTCGCACATACCAAACACCTTCCCTTTCCCCTCCCTCTACCCCCACCCCTCCCCCTCAGGTGCATTTCACCAATCCCAAGGGTCGTGCTGACCTCGTCGACAGCTCTGGACTCTACCTGAAGCTGGCGCCCTCGCCGCGACCCATGGACGCGTCCATCATGCTCGCGGGGCCCGCCTCCTACGAGTACCTCATCCGCATCCCGCCCGCCATGCCGTCGTGGACGCAAGTCAGCACGTGCGCCAGCCAGTGCACCTCTGACGTGTTCAAGAACGAGAGTGTGAAGATCATCGGGTCGTTCCTGCACCTGCACACGCTGGGACGACAGGTGGGGGATGAGTAGACTGCTGAGAAAGCGCTGTGGTGAGGCCCCATGTGGTATCCCCTCACATGCCCCCCTGTTGCCCATGCCTCATGCTGCCCATGCCTCGTGCTGCCCTTGAGTGGGCCTCAATTGCTCCATCCCATGCCCCCCATGCTCCCCATGTGTCCATGAGCAGTTATACACGGATGTGTTCAGAAAAGGCAGCAAAGTCGCCACCATCAGCCGCCAGGACTACTAGTGAGTTTTCTTTATCACACAGCCACCGCTCTTGTTCACCCAACCACCGCCCCCCTTTGCTCATCTTTACCCTAATTTACGCCTCTTTACCCTCTTTACCCCTTCAAAACCCTTTTACCATTCCTCCTCTCTACCCCCACCCACTGGCACGAACCCCTGCAGCATCTTTGCGTCGCAACATGCCATAGGTACTGAAAGCTTCCCTCCCTCCATCTTCCCTTCTTTTTGCCCTTCCGTCCCTCTTCCCCTCCACCCCATCCCCCCACACCCCAAACGATCGCTGCGACGTCGCGTCGCAGCAACGAGCTCAACAGACGCTCCCCTCCCTCCCTCCCTCTCTCCGTCATTCCCTGTTTTCCTCTCCCCCCACACCCAAACAGCGACGGTGCATCGCAGCAGACCATTCCCGTCACGCCGGAGTTTGAGCTGCTGCCAGGGGACGAGTTGCGCACCTCCTGTGTGTGGGACTCCACTGACCGCACCAACGTACGTGCCTCCTGCCCTCAATCTCACCAGCAAAACTTGCCTCTGCCCTCAATCTCACCAGAAAAAAAGTTTCTCTTGGCATTAGATTACCTTGTGTTGTTGCAGCCCCTCTGTTGGTGCGAGCTGCGCACCCTCCTGTGTGTGGGACTGCACTGCTCGCACCAACATACGTGCCTCTTAGCGGTTTGGATACATCCGTGTATAACTGCTCATGGACGCGTGGGAGCATGATGTATAGCACCACCAACACTGGGATTCCCCCCCCACTCCAACGTACTTACCTCGCGTTTTACAGTGTCAGTTCCACTCTATTGTTGCCCCATTTACAATAAAGTCCTCTGCCCGCTGTCCCTCTCCGCCCGTTGGTGCATGCAGGTGACGGTGGGAGGGCCATCCACGGAAGACGAGATGTGCATTGACTACCTCATCTACTACCCCGCACGCCAGGGCCACGGTAACGCTGCTTCTTACCATGCACAGGGAGCAGCAGGGTCAAGGTAATGCTTTACTCATTGGGTGATGCGTTTCAATTGGAGACCCACCCTCTCACACGCCCATTGCTGCTCCAACCAGGGATGGACGAGTGCTAAGACTGCTGCTGGACGGGATGCGAACAAGACTCTCGGCATGGTCCCCAACAGCCCCACGCTGTTCTTGTCAGCAACCCAACCCCTCGCCAACAGTCCTTTCCCCTACCAACACCCCTTCCCCCTCATTCCCCCTGCCATCTCCTGCTCATACTTTCACACGCCATTCCTGCTCCGTGCAGAGATGGACTCATGCTAGACTCATGCGCGTCGTATGAGGAGACACTCTGGGCATGAACCCCAACAGCCCCACATTCCGCTTACACCCACCCCCTTCCCCTCCCCTTCCCCTCCCCCGTCCATCCCCCTTCCCCTCCCCCGTCCATCTCCTTTCCCCTCCCCCGTCCATCCCCTTCCCCTCCCCCGTCCATCTCCTTTCCACTTCCCCATCCACGCCCCTTCCCCTCCCCTTCCAGAGATGGCTGCATGCCATGACTTGTGTGCATCATATGAGAACGATGTTTTCGCCAACATGGCCATACCAGGGGATCCCAACAGCCATACTGCTTACACCCCTCCCCCCCCAACCCCTTTTCCCCTCCCTCACCTCACTCCATGCAGTGATGAACGTGTGCCATGACTTCCATGCATTGTACGAGAATGACACTCCTGGGGTGGACTCTAACAGCCCTACCTTGTGCGTACACCCACCCATTTTCCCCTCCCCAACCCACCCCCTTTCCACTCCCCAACCCACCCCCTTTCCCCTCCCCAACCCAACCCCATTTCCCCCTTGCGCCACCTCACCCCCACCAGAGATGAACGTGTGCTATGACTTCTGTTCATCCTATGAGAACGGCACTTGGAACATGGACCCGAATAGCCCCACACTGTCAATGTTCTACGTGTGTGGTGGCTCCAACGTCATCCCTTCTGGCAAGCCCTGCAAGATCACATTCGGTGCCAACACGCCCAAGAAAGTCGTCAATGGCTGTCCTGCTCAGTAAGCAACACCTCTCGTCAGGTGCAGACCACACCACACCACACCACATCGCACTGCACCACACTACATCCGTACCCTGTTACATCTCACTCACTCCCCACCTACCAGCCCTGCAGGATCACCGTTGGTTTCACACGAACAAGAAAGTTATCAACGGCTGCCCTGCTGAGTAATTTGAGATTAAAGAGCATTGCACCGCTCCACACCGCAGCCCTACCCTGCCACACCATTTCGACACACATGCGCACTTCAAAGGGTCACCTGATCACGGTCTCATCACCACACATCTCATCACCATACATCTCATCACCACACATCTCATCACCATACATCTCATCACCATACATCTCATCACCACACATCTCATCACCATACATCTCATCACCACACATCTCATCACCAACACCATTTCATCACCACACACCTGCCCCTCATTGTCCCCCATTCCTTAAACCCATGACAGGACCCACGCATCACTGGCAGACATTCCTTCTGACACCATCTCTGCACCGCTCACCACCAACGCACCACCTTCCGCCAACGCACCACCTTCCGCCAACGCACCACCTGCGCCCGCTGCTGCCCTCCCACCTCCTACCGCTGCTGCTGCTGCTCCATCACCCCCCAGCAACAGCACTGGCAAGGCAGCACAAGCATCAGTTCACAGCGGCAGTGCCAGTGCACTGGTGGCTGTAACTCTGCTGTGGTCTGTGCTTGCCCTTGCGCTCTAAGATACACCGTCGCTGTTGGTGCCGTTGCTGCTGCCGCTGCTGCTGCTACTGCTGCTGCTGCTGCTGTTACACCCCACAGCAACACCAGTGGCAAGACAGCACAAGCATCATCTCGTCGGTTCACAGAAGCAGTACCAGTCCACTGGTAGACCAATCATTCAGGTGCTCATGAAAGAGGTGATTTATTGTTTTATCCACGCTGTGAAAATCCCGGGCTTTAATCTGGTATAAGAAATGACTGACACATGGTTGGTAGTACATCAGATTGGTGTACCGCGTTTGAACGCAACACGGCCACCGAGCTTAGATCTGATCAACCCCTTCGGAAATTGGCCAGGGGTGCCACGCCAAGTGCTTTATCAGATTGTAAATGAAGTCCGGCAATAGTGCAACGCCGACTCTCTTGTCTCATGCACCAATAGACGGAACACGTCGTCACATGAACACATATACCGGTACTAGTGCAGTACTAAAACGAAACATCCTCTCCCCCTTAACACACCATTGATCTCAGGCCTCACTCTACCCGCCCAGCAACCTCTCAATGGCTGCTTGCACGTTGCCCCCAGTGGCCCTGAGTGCAGCAATGTTATCCTGCTCATTCCCAAACCCCATGTCCCTCAGCTGCCCCAGCTGCGTCGCATAAAACTCCTCCGGCGCCACTCCTGGCGGCGGCACCGCCCCTCCTCCCAACCCTCCCAGCCCTCCCAGCCCAGCCAACCCACCCAGGCCCCCGAGGCCCCCACCCCCTGCCGCTGCTGCAGCCATGGCTGGCCCCATGAGCGTTCGCATGAGTGCATCCAGATCCCCCACGCCCCCCACACCTGCTCCCGCTCCTGCTGCCCCTGCTGCCCCTGCACCCCCACCTGCCGCACCACCTACTGCTGCCCCGGTACCACCAGTCGCCCCTGCTGCTCCTCCCCCCGCCCCGCCCCCCATAAGGCGCCGCACCATGCCCATGCTGCCAACTAGCTGCCCCTCCGCCACGCCCGCTCTGGTCAGCCCCTCCAGCCCCTCGCCACTCAGCATCCCCCGCAGCGCAGCCGCATCCCCCAGTAGCGACCGCAGCGCCTCGTTGCCGTCCACCTGCCCCTGCAGCAGGGCGCTCGCCCGCACGGCCTCGGCCGCAAACGCAGGGTCGGCCAGGCGCTCCTCCAGCTGCTGGGGCACCCCCGGCAGGCGCAGCAGCAGGTGCAGCAGCAGCAGCGAGCGCAGCACGGCGGGCGGGTCGGAGGAGAGGTCAGCCATGGCGATGGGCGGGAAGGGCAGGTTCACCGTGTTCAGCCCTGGTAGGCCCCCGCCCAGCCCCGCAGGCGCGGCGCGCTGAGTGCCTGCTGCTGGTGATGGTGGTGGTGGTGGGGTGGTGATGGGATGACGATGGGAGTTGGTGAAGAGGAGGATGGGGGATGGAAGAATTCGTTAGGGAGGTGAATGGAGGGGCGATAGAGAAGACAATTGAGAGGCGATGGGGAAGAGAATAGAAGAGGGGAGAGGGAAGTCAATAGAGGGGGATAACATGGAGGTGGGTGGGAAGGAGAGGTACACAAGTTTGGAGCTGCGAGGCGGGAATGCATACGCGATGAGGGAATGCGGCATGTGGGTGGGACGAGAGGTAGGTGAGTTCAGAATGGCAAGGCCACGCAACCAGAAATGGTGCCTTGATGGATGAAAAGTCAACAGAGGGAGGATTGAGAGGTGATAGGGAATTTAACAGAGGGAGAATTGAGAGGTGATACGGAATTAACAGGGAGGATTGAGAGGTGATAGGGAATTTAACAGAGGGAGGATTGAGAGGTGATAGGGAATTTAACAGAGGGAGGATTGAGAGGTTATAGGGAATCTAACAGAGGGAGGATTGAGAGGTGATAGGGAATTTAACAGAGGGAGGATTGAGAGGTGATGGGGAATTTAACAGAGGGAGGATTGAGAGGTGATAGGGAATCTAACAGAGGGAGGATTGAGAGGGGATAGGGAATTTTAACAGAGGGAGGATTGAGAGGGGATAGGGAATTTAACCGAGGGAGAATCGAGAGGGGATAGAGAAATAAACAGAGGGAGGATTGAGAGGGGATAGGGAGGTAAAATAAAGGGGGGATTGAGAGGGGCTACGGGAGCCCAAAACAGCTGTTAGACGGATTGTGAGGGGGATTGTTGTGAGGGAATAGGGAAGTCAAGGGGAAAGGGAACTCAATAGAAGGGGATAACAAGGAGGTGAATGGGAGAGAGAGGTACACGAGTTTGGAACTGCGAGGCCAAGAGCGCGTCGAGATGATGGGGGTGGGGAAGAGAGGTAGGTGAGCTCGAAATGATGAGGCCAGGCAGGTGAAGGGATGCGAACAGAATTGCACATGCGATGAGAGGGTGCGGCAGGCAGCAATGGTGCGTTGAGAGTGAAAAAGGGGAAAATCATGGGCGGTGGCTTGATGGATGGGAACCACCAAGCAGACAGGATTGTGCAACCACACAGCACAACACAAGAGCACAGCACGGCACAGAGGACAGCACAGCACAGAGCATAGCACAGTACACAGCACAGCACAACACAACAGCAGAACACCGAACAGCAGGGAGCACAGCTCCCGAGCTCACCTCCACCACCCCACGGGTTCGGCAGCGGAGCCGTGTTCGCCGCCCCACCAGCCCCCTCCGCCCCCCCTGCCCCCGTCTCCCCACTCCCCCCCGTCCCCGTCGCCCCCCTCCCCGCACCCCCCCCCACACCACCACCCCCAGTGGCAGCATCCATGAGCGGCTCCTGCACGTTATGGTACATGTTGCGCAGCATGTTGAACCCGCCCGGCATCGCCTCAATGTTGCTCATCGCGCGGTCGGTCGTCCTCATCATCTCGCGCATGAGCTCGGGGTTCCGCGCCGCCTCCATGGTCTGCCTTAGCACGGCGGGGTCGTTGAGCACGTGCGCCAGCTCGGGGTTGCGCGCCATGAGCTGCTGCATCTGCGGGTTGGCGGCCAGCATGGAGCGCATCACCTCGGGGTTGTCCATCAGCGCGCGCACAGCAGGCAGGTTCATCATGTCGCGGATCATCTCGGGGTTCTGCAGCATCTGCTGTTGGAACTGCTCCAGCCCGGGCAGGCCTCCGCCTGCGCCGTTGTCCAGCCCGAGGCCCCCCAGCCCTCCCAACCCGCCGAGTCCTCCCAGTCCGCCCAGTCCGCCGAGTCCGCCCATTCCGCCTAGGCCTAGGGGGTCCGCGGCCCCGCCTCCGCCCAGCGCCGCCGCCAGCAGGTCCGGGGGGACGCGCTGCGCGCCTCCGGCGGCGGGCGCGCCTGCTGCTGCTGCGGGGTTCGCGGAGGGCGTGGTGGATGTGCCTTGTTGCGCGGCGGCTGGCTGCGCCGCGGATGAGGGGGACGCCGCCGCTGCTGCTCCCCCGCCGCCCCTGACGAGGTGCAGCGTGGAATCCGCCTCTATGCCTGTGGCGCGGAGGTGGGGGAGGGGGGAGAAGAGGAGGATCGGTGGGCAGTGGCGTGCATGGGACGGGATGGGATGGGATGGGATGGGATGGGATGGGGACGGGATGGGATGGGATGGGGTGGGATGGGGTGAGATGGGATGGGATAAGACGGGATGGGACGGGATGGGACCGGATGGTTCAGACGGAAAGAGTGATAAGAGTCGAGGGTTGGGTATTCAGCGGCTGGTAAATCGTGAGTGAGACGCGCGAAACCGGCGAGCTCCACGGTACGAACGGGTGGAGGGGCGGAGGGAGGAAGGGGGGATCAAATCGCGAAGGAAGCGAAGTACGGGGGGGCCAAAGCATGGGGGGAGGTCAGGGTGAATCCTCCCCTTCTCGTTCCCGCTTCCCATCCTTCCTTTCCCTTCCTCCCGGTCCCGCACACGCGAGCACGCCCCTTATACTGACGCTCCTCGTAAACCGGGAGGTACGGAGTTGCCGCAGCTCCGGGATTCAGAGCTAGCGGAAATCGATTGCGGCAGACGAAGCAAACAGCGAGACGTGGAATTATATCACGTGCGATCCCGGCGATGCTAGCGATTTGTTGGCCGGTTCGATCCCGTCGAATCCGCTGCCTAGCCTCGACAATTCCGGCTGCTACGACACTTCTTCACCCCAGCACTGCACCGCGCTGCACACCTTTCCACCGCGCTACACTCCACGCTACTCTAATCTACATCGCTCTGCGCAAATCTACACAGCTCTCCCCGAATCGCAAACAGCTTCCTAAACACCGATTGCATCCGAGCCGCAGACCACACGTAATCGCGAGGCGTACCGCAGCCTTCAAGGGTGACGTCATCCTTGAGAATCCGTCCTTTGAAGATTAACCGCTGCTGCGGCACGGCGATACCCGACTTGTCGACGAGCTGCTCCTTGAGCTGACGCACCGTGGCCGTCAGATCCACCTCCAGCGAGTACTTGACGTTCGACAGATGCTTCACGTGAATCTCCACCCCCATCGCCACGATCGCTCGTCGGAGGAGAGGAGAGGTCGTTGACGTGTGAGGCGAGAAACTGCACTTGCAAATCTAGGAATACTCTTGTCAAGAAAAACAAAACACTGGATATAAATGTTAGTACGAACTTCCTTAGCATGGAGCAATAGCTCAGTGGTAGAGCAATCGACTGCAGATCGATAGGTCCCCGGTTCAAACCCGGGTTGCTCCTTAATTGCAGCGTTTTTAAATGTCGTTTGTTCCTTCACGCGTTCTAAGCTTCCGAGATAAGAGCGAGTTACGTACCCCTTATTTTGGCGGCAGGCCCCGGTTGCCTGTAACATTCAACCCAATCTCATTGATCGTGTCGACCGTGGGGCGGTTGGGTACCTGGCAGACAACCTGCAAATGTACTACCCCTCTGTTTTTGGGACCCAACCATGCAAATAACTCGGGCAGACCCAACAGTTACTGCGCTAATGCGCTGCACCAAACCCTTGATATCGTTTTCCGTACACCAATCGATTCGAGATCTGCCACTTGTCAAGATTACTAAACGAGAATGAATGAATTGAGACAGAAACAAAGTACAAGTGCT